TCTCGATTTGTTGATAGCCTTAACAATATTTGCAATATATGTAATATATTTAAGTACTTTTATACCCTTTAAAACAGAACCATACGCACTACCCCATGATTTTTCATGGTGACTAGAAAATAAAATTCCTCATACTATCTGCAATTCATCACAGCGATTGGGAACGAAAATACCGAAGAACGTTGAGTAGACGAAAAAATTTATCGTCCTCTCGTATCAGATGGCTTTTTAAATTGGCATGGTTTCGAACAAGAAGAGCTCTACTCCAATTTTGAATTTCGTACTGTTGGATCTTAATTAATGAGAAAAGAAACTTGGAAAATCTCATCCTTATCTTGATCACAATGCTTTCTTTGACAGACAAGGCCGATTTACCAAGGTTAGTCCATTTATTTAAATTGTCACTAGAAATTGTAAACAAGTTTCCAGACCTGGCAAAAATATTTCTATGGAAAGACACTCGTTTTATATGCCACGCAAAGGAAACAAGTAAAAAGCAGAAAGCCGGGTTCCCTACATGATTAAGCTGACGTGAGGTTGGTATAAAAGATTTTATTTGGCTAAGGATTCGGCGCCTTCTCCTTCTTAAGAGCCAAGTCGATGCTCCACATCTGGTCGTTGTTGCTGGTGGCCGTAGTCCATCTAATCGAATCCAGAGAGTGGGAACACCGCTCGAATGGGAAAATTCACTCGGTGGTGTATTCTTTATAAGCATAGATGTAAGTCGATCTCTACCACCCAATATGATCTGCTTTTTGCAAGCCGTGCTTTTTGCAGTAGGTGCAAGCAATGGAACTATCGACCAGAAATACAGCGATTTGACTGCCTTGTGTAGAAATATTAAGCAGATGGTTGATTTGTTAAGTCTTTTTATCCGGAAGTTAGAATTTAAAAAAGGGGACGATTTAAGCCGTAACAAAATCCGAACTGCATGGTGAGGTTGAAGTCGAAAAATCAAAAAACCATTATACGTAGACATATTTTGTTGGCTGATTTATGTGGTAGATATCCCCTCTTCTCCTGACCTCTCATACGACACTTCTTGTGAGTGCCTGAGCTCATAGTGGCAAAATTGGCCAATTAATCCGCGCAAATACAGAATAATTAAATGATAACCACACAGTAGAGTTAGATCTGTACACAACAAATTAAAAAGCATATTGGTTTAGTGGGAAGGAGCAGCTGCATTACCAATGATGTAGAGCATTACATAACAGGTTTATGAAAGCATGACAGATATTTAGGTATATTGTGTATGTAACACAATATACCTAATTATGTGTGCATGTATGATCGCATTGTGTTGTATAAGGGCAAACAGCGATTCCGAAGTATTCGCAAAACACTAGGCCGCAGGTGCCTGCTGTGAGGAACGAACTCGATGTTACCCTTTTCGGGAGAAACGTGTTCACCACCACACCATACGGGTTTAAAAAAGTATTAGCACAGGTACAACAGCGTAAGCGTTTAGGTGGCGACCGTGTAGAAAGGTCAGAGCGTTGAAGGCGTTGCACAGCAACGAGGATGAAGATTCTGAGGAGTGATAAAGTATTGAGCATGATCACACACCTGTATCACCTGCCACCTTTAATCTCGTCGATTGTCGAGTGACTTGAGCGGACGCCAGTAAATCCTCCATTTTTCCCTGTCGCGTGCAAGAGTATCCCCAATGTGTTCTGCTTTTTTTCGGAACTCGTTGAGCATCATATCTTTCTTCTAGGTTATTTGTGGGCCATCGAGTCGGTGGTCTTCCTGTAGTACGTTTAACATCACGAGGAAACCAGTCACTAAAGCCTCTCGCCCATTGGTTGTCATTCATACGCATTACGTGTCCGGGCCAAGTTATCTTCGATTGTTTGGCTTACAAAACGGCATTTTTGATTTTTGATCGTTAACTCAGGTCGGAGCTTCCGATCCCATCCCTTACTGTGGAAAGAGATACTCCTAGCGTCGTCTTTTGACTGCGCGTTCGATAACGATGACTGACCTTTCATCCTTCTTACGCAGCGACCAGGTTTCTGACGCATGCGTTAGGGCGGGAAATACAGTTGAGTCAAAAAAGTGGGCAGGGATGTTCCTTGTCTTTTTCAGTACATCCTCGATGTTTTTGAAAGCTTCTGAAGCCGCTCGCTTCTTTCCACTCAGCTGTGGAGCTAAGGCGTTCAATATGTTGATTTCCCAACCTAGATAAATATAACTAGAGCATTCAAATATATTCGTTCTGCTGAGCGTGAACGGAGCATGCGAAACCAATCCGTTCCTCATGAACATCGTTTCTGTGAGATTTAGACGAAGACCAATCTTTCCACAGACTTTATCAAAGCGGCAAGCATACGTTCCGCTTGACTAATGTTTGGTGTTATAAGGATGATGTCATCAGCAAAACAAAAATAATGTAACTGCTGACCATCCATTTTCACTTTCATATTATCCTATTCCAATGTTTGCATGACGTTCTGGAGGGTGGCAGTAAATAATTTTGGCGAGATGGTATCGCCTTGCCTAACTCCCCTTTTGACGTCAATGTTAACATCGTTATAGAATGGTGATATCTTGGTTATGCGCTGAGTAGGGACTACTTGACTATCAACGGCTTCCATTACTGCTTCCATCACAATTGAATAAAAGGCGTTCTCTAAATCGATGAAAGTGAGACTTAGAGAGAGAGAGAGAAAAGTTTGTAGACGATAGATAGCAAGCAGATTGGGCGATAGTTGCCGATATGGTGTAGGTCACACTTTTTAAACAATAGCACGGTCTTGTTGGTCTTCCACTGAGCAGGAACCTTGCATTCAGACAGGTAATGTGTGAAGAGCCTAGCCAGTGTGTCTTACGAGAACTTGCGGAAGGTTATTCAGGTGTTCTGGTCTTACCCTACCCTGTCCGGACCTGGTGCCGTTCGACTTTTCACCAACGAAATGCCATGTCATATGTCGGAAGAGAGAACCGGTGGTACAACATATTCATCGTTTTTCTCCATTGCCTTTCTCGACGCTGTAACTGCTACGTCTGGGCGTCGGAGTGCAACCATCTCGGTCTTGAAATTCGTTAAGCTTCGGTGGGCTTTGCAAATGCTTTCCCCAGCCTCTGCAACTTCGACCGTTACTGTTGCTTTTTTCTATGATCTTCTTTTATCGCCTCTCTGGATTGTTTTGCAAGTTCGGACGTTAGTTCGCGGTTGCTTGCAGCTCGTGCAAATCCACGCTGGCGTATCAGCTCGAGTGTTTCTCGAGACAGAGGTCTTTTGGTGACCTTCGAACTTTCGGCCTTCATAGTGCTAACGTGAAGATGTTGAATGAGTCGACTGTATTCTTCGTCGATGTTATCGAGAACAGCACCTTTTCCACAGCCGACTAATGAATTGATTAAGTCCCAGTTTAAGGCGGTTTTGAGACCTCGTTTTTTGAGTTTATCGGCTTTTTCTCCCTTTTGCGAGAAATAGAATCTTGCACGAAGGAGATGGTGGTCTAGTCCTGTGTGGAATTTTGGGACAACAGTGACATTGGTTAGGTAAAACCTTCTATGGTGTGGTCTATTTCGTTATGGTACTCTCCATTAGGAGACTCCCACGTCCATCGGTGAGGGTGGGGCTTCTGGAATTGCCAGTTACCATAGATGGTCTTGGTCGCCATGATAAAATCAGACCGCCGCTCAGCCTGTTCGTTCAATTTTAATCCATGGTTCCCAATGTAACGTTCTTCAGACGTTCTTCTTAGTCTAATCTTGGCGTTGAAATCTCCAATGATGACCTTGAAGAATGTATGGTTTTCTCCGTGAAACTTCTCCAAGTCCATATTGAACGCTTCGACTTCCTTTTTGTCATAGTTTGATGTCGGTGCGTAAACGACGAAGCTTGTCGAAGCCGGTATTGATCCACATCTTTTCAATCGCAAGCGTCCGATTCGGGTTGTAAGCTGTTCGAATGAATCGATGTTCATGGACAAACTCCTGTTGACGAGAACGCCGACGCTGTCGAGTCCTCTACTGTCGCATGTTCCAAGGAACAGTTCTTCTCTGGTGTCATAGACTGCGTTGAAAGGCTGGAGTCGTTTCGTCTCGGCCAGAACGATGACGTCGTACCTTACCCTTCTTGCTTGCATGAGCAGGTCTTCTATCGAGAACTCAGATGAAAGTGTACGTGCATTGTAGGTACAGAGTGCCACTTTAGTTCTTTGTAATCCAGGTAGCTTCCATTGACCCTGAGATTTTAGCAGCCTCTCCGTGCTCATCGTACCCAATGTTGCCGATTTTGAGGCTCTTTCAGGGTCAAGGGAATGAGCCCCTTTTCCTTCACTGTGTTTAGCATTCTGATATCCACGTATAACTTGCTGGGCTCTGAACGTGGAGCTGGGTATACTCACGGGTTGCTTGCCAGTCTCTCGCAGAGTGGTCACGGAGCTTTTGTTGAAGGCGACTCCTTACTGGCTCCCATATACTTCCCTGTCACTTGGTTGCAGCCTTTTGGCCGAATTGACTCGTAGAATACAATCCGCCTAAGCAAGAACGCATCCACACACGCATTTATGAATACGCCTAGAAAATACAGAAAGTATGTGCCAAATCAGCGCAGCACAAACAGGGAGTCCATCCCCTGGATCCACCTGCGTCTCAGGGAAGCAAAGGTCGCTTTTGGTCCGCGATTTCCCCCATTCCGTCACCTGGGGACGCGCCACGTAGCCTCGCGACCAACCGGCTCGAGATCCCTCATATGAGGGAGATCTGTGGGACCACGCAAACACGTCAAAATATCCATGGGTTTGGGCTCAGCAGAACTGTAAGTAGATCAATTGATGCGCAATAGTAGTGACAGCATGTGATATGAACGCTTATCATAGTTTTAGCTAGCATTTTCTTCACCTTCGTTTCTAGGCTTTGCTCATCGCTAGTCTTTTTATAGATTCGAACAACATTAATGGCAGAAGTTTTGAGAATAAGACTTGACAACTTCTAAACTGGAGAACAAGTGCAACCGCCTTCATCTCTTTCCCTTATTGTTTTAGTATATATTGCTGCGTTATGCACTAATGTTTACTCGACTTAACTCCCGAGCGAAGCGAACAGTTGAGAAGTTGCCAAGTCTTATTCTCAAAACCCTCACCATTGATGTTGCTTTAATCCATAAAAACACTTGCATTGAGCAAAACCTAAAAACGAAGGTGAAGAGAATCTTAACTGAAACTATGTTAAGTAGTTGTGTCACACGCTGTGCGTATTTGCAGAGACTAGTCTGGACAGTGTCAATAAGTTTTTATTTTACTATTAGTCTCCTATATGATTACACGACAGAAAACCTGCTTGCCTACCCTACATTAATGCTGCTTGACCACACGTCACCGGGTACGGCAACATCCCTGCTCGATCCTAAGACGTTGGTCATTCGCATTGATATTCGTCATGCTTGTGCAGTGCTATTTGGCTTCAGATGGCTCGTTAAGGACGCCGTCGTCTTTTCTCGTCATTTATTCATCCAGCTCAATCTACTACTTTCAAAACTTCTTCCATTTGCTTCGACTAGGATAATGTTGAGGTTTCGTGATCTTACATGGTCAACCTGCTAGGTTATCGTCAATACTCATGTGATCACTATGAGTTGCCAATGCGGCAACTGTTTCAAATACTTACCCAAACGGAACAAGAATTTTAACTCAGTACTCGGTAATGAGGTTCACAAAATGCTTAACCGGGCTTATTATGCGTTTAATTAATTTACTAGTGCATCGTTGGCTGACAACGTATTCTAAAACGCAAGCGATTCGATTTCCCTACGCAGAATTATTAAGTAGATGGGTGGCTTATGAAGTCCTCTTTCTCTAGCAAAAGTTAAGAGTTCAAAAGATAACAGAAGCCTTCACAAATTTGCAGGTACATTGTGACCTTCAAGTGAAAAAATAAAAGCTAACTTATCAAATAAATATACAAAGCGAATTTCAAGGCTATTTCTAACAGTTTTGTCCACAACTTTTTGCATTTTCAGTTTTTCTGTTTTGCGCAGAGCTAGCTGTTTTATGCACGCAAGCAGCATCAATGGCGGAAGTTTCGAAAATATGAAATGACAACTTACAAGCAGAAGCTATGGAGACACATTGATCGAATAGAAATCTAATAGACATGCTCCTTCGCGAAGAGAGAACTCGGTTCGGTGTGAAGACTATTGGTGAAATACAACCACAACGTTGCTGAGATATTTGCAAAACTCTGGACCGCAGGTGTCTATGGTGGGGAACGAACGCGCTATTATCCTTTCCGGGGAGTAACGCGTTCACCACCACACCATGCGGGTCGCTTAGTAACCTGCCATGAAAATTATAGAAGGCAGAAAACAAAACGTTAAACATTGTGATTTCAACTACAGCCATAGCTTAACTGGGTTCTATGCCGATTTGCGCTCCCCAGATCAACCCCGCTGACGGGTGATTGCTGTGGCAAAAAGATCGATAGAAATAGCTGAGAGACGTGCGAAACAAAGGACCCGCATGGTGTGGTGGTGAACGCGTTACTCCCCGGAAAGGATAATAGCGCGTTCGTTCCCCACCATAGACACCTGCGGTCCAGAGTTTTGCAAATATCTCAGCAACGTTGTGGTTGTATTTCGCTTAGTAACCTGCCATGAAAATTATAGAAGGCAGAAAACAAAACGTTAAACTATTGGTGAAGTTATATGCATGTATATATATCTATACATATATATATATATATATATATATATATATATGTAGTAGCGGGTAGCACAGAATTAGTGGTGCCACTTATCCTGAGCACAGTGCCCGTTCGATCCCATTCAAGGTTCACCAAGCCTCTTAGTCCTCCGGATCCGGGAAATTGTTCCCGGACTTGTACGGGAAAAAAAACACTCGCTGCAGTTCACTTGGAGACGCTCTAGCTCCACTATCTCAGGACTCCAGTGAGAGTCGAGTCGACCAGAATTCAATGATATTCATGGTGAAGTGAAAATATGGATTCGAGGAAACGAATCGAATTCGAAAAATGCTCAAATCTGCACAGTAGATGTGAAAACAGGAAGGAACTGCAGATGGTGGTTTGCTTCCAAGTTTAAACTAATGTGTGCCGTTACTATAAGTATCTGAACAAGGTAATTAGTGCTTGGCATCTTCGGAAATGGTTCACATAATGTTTATCTCACATTAAAATCGCTTCCGCTAATCGTGTTAGTTGGTCAGTTGGGTATGGGCCTTCGAGTTAGTCTTCGGTACCGAATAATTACTAGCTCGAAGTACAATGCTCGAATTTGTACGAATTTGCCACACGGGACCTTTTGACATTGCCACAATCTCAAGCTGAGGTTATAACCGTCTATATAACTAATAGCAATACGATATTGACAATATGACGATATACAAAAGGTGTAAACTAAAAGCGCTAGTGCCAAGAAGGACTCCTAGTTAAGAGAAATGGTATATAGAGCTGTGGAGAGAACTGTGGAAAAGACTAACACATTGACGAAGTTCCTTATATACGCACTATAAAAGGCGGAGTTTGGCGAGAGCAGTTGAAAAGATACTTTGAAAAGGGGCTGGCGAAACCTTGCTCTTTGAATACGGCTAGGCAGAGTAAAACAAGTGCTTTCCTGTGTGAGGAGATCACTAGGACAAAGCGAGTGCATGTTCGACTAAAAAGTAGACTAAAGTGCACGAATGAATGCGGTTAATAGTAAATATCGTTACTATAGGAAACATATATTAGTAAACAGGATAGGAACTATCCGCGGAATCTGTCGGTAGATCGAATACTAGCCACGAGAAAGGCCAAACAAAGGATCCGCATGATGCAGCGGTGAAGGCGTTAGTTTCAAGAAAGTGTGATAGCGTGTTCGATCCCCGCCGCAGACATCTGCGGTCCGGAGTTTTGCAAAAATCTCAGTATGTCAGCATAAATGCCTGGAATCCTACAATAAACTGCTGTTCAGCTGAAAAAAATGCTCAGAGATCACAGGTGATCTCGCACCGTTCCGTCGCATCGCTTTTTGATGTGGGGTAGTGCAGTTAGCCATTTTAAAACGGTGAGTTTTTGAGAAACTGTTAACTCTGCCATACACGTTTTCATTTTTCTGCCTGTGTTATTGAATAGTTTGGCGTGATAAACTGCATGCCCATATACCATTCCAGGCTCTGAAGAAGGCGATACTGCCGAAACGTCAGCGACTGTTGTGTTGCATGTTTTTTATATCTCGGCTTCACTGGGGTTGTATTTCACATAATACCCTGCCGTGAAAAACTGTAGTGGGCAGCAAATAAAAAGTTAACATTTCGACTTCAACTGCAGTGTCAGTTTGACAGCGCTCAGTGCCGATTTTTGGGCTCCTCAGATCAATCGCGATGACGGGTGATTGCTGATGACACTAATCGATAGAACAAGCTGAGAGACAGGCGAAACGAAGGAACCGCATGGTGTGGTGGTGGACGCGCTTGCTCCGGAAACGGTAATAGCGTGTTCGTTCCCCATCCCAGGCTTCTGCATTCCGGAGTCTTGCAAATATTTCATCATCATTGTGGTTGAATTTGCACTAACTTGAATCGTATAGGAAAAACAAAAAAACTGTATAAGTGGGTATCATGCGAATTAAACGATAATCAAGAAAATCGCCATTTCGAAGTTTCGTCTACTGCTATTCTACGCAACATTCTGTACGACAACCGACGACGTTCAGCTCAATGGTTGGGTTGCGATCAGGCTCCACAGCACTCCCCCAAAGCGGAAACTGCAATAAAAAAAGGTTATGGTGGCTGTTCGTTGGTCTACAGCTGGGCTGACTCATCATATTTTTTTGAATCCCGTAGAAACAAGAACTACTGCATAGAAATCGACAAAATGTACCGTGAACTCAAACAACAACGACTGGACATAGTTATCAGTAAATGACCAATCCTTCTCCACGACAACGCCAGGCCTCATGTCGCAGATCCAGCGCTGCAGAAGTTGAACAGGTTGGGGTACCGAACTTTGCCTCATCCGCCATATTCATCAGACCTCTAGCAGAATTTTGCGCAGCTGGAATATATAAACATGTATCTCGTTGGGAAAAAATGTGTAGAGTTAAATCGTTTTTATTTTAATCAATAAAATTCTGTTTGAAGCAGGTTATGAAATTTCAAATAATATACTTAAAAACGTTTATTCATTTCCGAACAACCCAATACTTGGATCCATCTAGTCACGCAAGCGAGCTGCCATTAGGACATTGCCGTTGGGATTCGTCGTTCTGTGCAGTTTATGAGAAAAATGTGGGAAGTCTTGAACAAAAACAAATGCAGTTAAATGTCTTAATCTCCCTACTCCTTATTTTCCTCACCCCGAAAGAGCCCCCGATCCGGCTGCGCTATTTATGAGGACTACGGAGAGGTTGCTAAAATCTCAAGGCCATTCTAAGCTGCCTAAACCGCAAAGAACTAAGATGATGATCGCTACCTACAATGAACGCGCACGTGCATCAGAGTTCTCCACAGAAGACTTGCTCATGCAAGCAAGAAGGATAAGATGCGACGTCATTGGACTGGCCGAGACGAGACATCGCTACCCATTCAACGGCTTCTTTGACACCAAAGAGGAACTGCTTTTTGGAACATGCGTCAGTAGAGTATGAGCATATGGCATCGGCGCTCTCGTTAACGCGAGTTTGTCCATGAATATCGATTCATTCGAACAGTTTACAACCCATATCGGACGCTTACGATTGAAAAGATGTGGATCAATACGGGCTTTGACAATCTTCGTCCTTTACGCGCCGGCATAGAGCCATGACGAAGAAGTTGAAGCGTTCTATATGGACGTGGAGAGGTTCTACAGGGAAGACCATACATTCTTCAAGGTCATCATTGGAGACTTCAGCGCTGATTGGACGAAGAAGAACGTCTGAAGAACGTCACATTGGGACCCATGGATTAGAATGGAATGTACAAAGTGAGCGGCTATCAGAGCTTATCATGAAGACCAAGACCATTTATGGTAACTCGCATCTCCAGAAACCCTGCATTTAATGCTGGACTTTTGAGCCTTGCAGAGGACAATATTGTAACGAAATAGACCGTATCACAGTAAATCGAATGTATTGCCTTACTGGTATCGCTGTTGTCCCGAAGTTATCTGAAATTAGAGCGTCGATACCTTCGTTGAAGATTTCAGTTCTAACGTCAAGGAGAAA